TGATAAAAATCTTCAATTGCCTCGTCTTTGGTTTTGGTGGTTGGTGCATAAATTTGAATAATAGTGGTTTTAAGGGGTGTTCCTTGTAGGCGTATGGATATTATCCTATCACTGACAGCATTGTTCTTCAGGACAGATCTTGAAACATCCCTTGTGATGATGAATGCCATGCCATTCTTCAAGTGGTCATTCCTGGAATAGTAGATCATCTGGTTGTCTGATTCAGAATGGCCAAAACCGGTCCATTTCAGCTTACTAATGCCTAGGATATCAATTTTTATGTGTTCCATTTCATTTTTGACAACTTCCAATTTTCCTAGATTCATACTTTGTACATTCCATGTTCCGATCATTAATGGATATTTTCAGCTGTTTCTTCTCAATTTGAGTTGTGCCACATGAGCACGTGGAGGTCCTGAAAGATTTACTTTATTCATATCATTAAAGTGGGTTCTCCTCTGATGAGGCGGCTCTGTCCCAGTCCTATTTGGAGTGCCTTTCAACCCAAGGGGCTAGTCTTCCTGCACAGTGTCAGACAATATAGTAGCCACACACACACTGCATACATGTTTGTACTTCACTTTGGCTCATGTCCTGGCATATAACAGATGCTCAAATGTGTGTTGTGTGTAACTAAAAGCAGGGAGCAGGAGAGCCAACAAATGGCTGGTTTGTGGCAGTGTCATGTAGGGAGGTTTAAAACAAAGATATGGTCTACAAGGTCACGTGATGTGTGTTTGTGTATGTGTGTATATGTGTAAGGAACACTTGTTTTGTGACTCAAAAAAATGCATGCCATTTCTGATTCCTCCTTTACTTTCTTATTTCTGATCTTTAATTAGGATATATAATTGAAGTTTATGTTCTCCACATATGTAAGTACTGTCTTCCAGCATGGCTGACTGAGTCCTGGAGTTTTATGCTCTCCTGGACTGATCAGTGTGTTGGGAGAATGGAATTCCATGGAGCTAGGCAGGCCAGAGTTTGTTCATTCATTCAGGAAACATTAATTTCCAACTCCAATATGAAAGGCACCATAGGGAACCTAGAATTATAATGGGACAAGGAGGTAGCCACTCCTCGGAAGGAAGATTGGGCAATCTACTTTCGTAGTGATACTGCCTCGGAAACCCAAGGAGGGGTCGCTATGAGTCGGGTCCAACTTGATGGCAAATAACAACAACAACATACTGAGTTTCAGAAGGTGAGCAGTATGGAATGTCTGCAGCATTATGATTCCCCAGCTCAGTCACTGGCTAATGAGACAGCCCACTTGTCATTAATTTGTTAGTGTAGTTGAGTGCATAGGATGATGACCCATGGTACATCTTTCAGTGTGGGACACCAGCTCACTGGTTCACTGGTCAGGACTTAACAGCAATCTGCCTTCCTTTACCAAAGAAGCTTCCAGCGTTGAATGTTTGTTACTTTATCAGACACCTGAGTCAATACTGATATAAAAAAATGGCTAAATAAATAAATGAGAGTGAAAGAATAAATCTTCCTTGTAGAAGAAATCCAAATGATAAGTATAGAAGCAAAGAGAGAAATAGAAAACCGTCATTAGAATATGACGGTAATTAAAAAAAAATGAATATGACAGTAATAATTGCTCCAGATAAGATCCACTGATGAATGCTAAAATTAGTGAGTGAAACTTTAAAGAAGAAACAGGATATTTACATAGGCTCAAGATATCTCCTCCAAATACTTGCTTTTGTTGTGGTTTTAACATATGTTTGGAAATTATTTGATGTTCTTACCTCCAGGAGATGGAGCTTAATTCTCTTCCCCTTGAGTGTGAACTGGACTTCATGACTTAATTCTTTTTTTTTTTTTTTCCCTTTCAATTTTTTATTGTGATTTGGGTGCAGATTTACAAAGCAGATTCATTTAACTCTTAACAGTTCATACACATTTGATTTCACAGCCCCAATTATAATCCCCAACCATAAAAAGCTCTCCTCCCCTCTCTTCCTTGTGACTTGATTCTAATGAATAGACTATAAAAACCTACCCACTGCCATCCAATCATTTCTGACTCATAGTGACCCTATCAAACAGAATAGAACTGCCCCATAGAGTTGACAAGGCTGTAAATCTTTAGGGAAACAAATTGCTTCATGTTTTTCCTGTGGAATGGATGATGTGCTCAAACTGCTAACCTTTTGGTTGGGAGTTTTTAGTGTTTTATCCACTGTGCCATCAGAGCTATATGAAGGGAAAACTAGTAATTTTATAGTGGAGGAACCAATACCACCTTAACCAACTGATCTAGTTACCACCACCAGTGATAAGTTACTCTGCTATTATGTACCGTCTGATATGATGTGATAAGAAGGGCATTTCATCTCTGTGGTACTCTTTTTAAAAAAACAAAACAAAACAAAACATTGTTGTTATTAGTTACTATTGAATCATCATCAGCTTCATCTGAATAAAACATTGCCTGGTCCTGTGCCATCTTCATGATTGTTGTCTATCCATCTCATTGAGGGTTACCCTTGTTTTTACGAACCCTCTGCTTTACCAAACATGATGTCCTTTCCTAGTGCTTGGTCTTTCCTGATGACATGTCCAAGTAACCCCAATCTAATCATGAGACAGCATTAGACAAACCCAATGTGAGAGAGATTCTATAAAATACCTGACCAGCGCTTTTTTTTAAATTATTTGTTTTGTTGTTGTGAAGAATATACACAGCAAAACATATACCAGTTCAACAGCTTGTACATGTTCAGTTGAGAAACGTTTATTACATTCTTTGAGTCATCCAGCCATTTTCATTCTCCTTTTTCTGAGTTGTTATTCCTCCATTAACATAAACTCACTGCCTGCTAAGATTTCTATCTAATCTTTTGAGTTTCTGTTATGTGATCCCATATAGATAATCTCAAGGCAGATATTCTTTTCTTTTTTTAATTTTTATTTATTTGGGTGAAAGTTTACAGAGAAAATTCACTTTCCATACAGCAGCTCACATACACTTTGTCTCATGACATTGACTACAATTTCCCACAGAGTAACAGCTCCCCTCCCACTTCCTTCCCATAGTTACCTCTTCCCTGTATCCTTCCTTCCTGTGCACTCCTGTCCCCTGAGCTATATCCCTGTACAAACACAGCCCTTCTATTCTCCCATGATTGATCTCTCCAAGGAGTATTATCTACCTAATGTAAATGTTCAGCTCATAAGGCAGATATTCTTTACTAATTAAGCTAGTGTATTTTGTTTTAAGAAGATTTCAGGGAATATTCCTGAGTAGTACTTTTCAAAAATGTGTCAAGGTAATATAAAACAAGAAAAGACTGAGAAACTGTCACAGATTAAGGGAGACTGAGATCAGTAGTTCAAGCCCACCAGCCATGTACAGGAGAAAGATGTGGCAGTCTGCTTCTGTAAAGATTTACAGTTTTGGAAACCCTATGTGACACTTCTTTTCTGTCCTATAGGATCACTATGAGTTGGAATTGACTCAGTGACAATGGGTTTTGTTTTTAAGGAGTCATGTGACTAAATACAACATGGTATCCTGGGTTGGATCCTAGAACAGGAAAGGATATTAGTAGAAAACTGGTGAAATCTGAATGAAGTTGAAGTTTGGTTGACAAACAATCTCTCATGGCATATTCCTCCCTAAGAACCAAGAGGCATTGACCAGAGCATGTCATTTACCACATTTATGTTGTAATTTTGAATTCTTCTTACCTTTGGAAAAGATGTTTTGTGCACCTAGAAGGCTCTGGAGGATTTAGGGACAAGCTTAGTCTTTGTGACTTCAAGTCCTGCTGACCCAGTGAACAGAATACCGTTTAGTAGGCGCAGGAGAGGGATATGCACACGAACCCCAGACCTTGTTGGTGTTTGATGCTACAAATGACATTCCTTCTGTTGGGAATCTCATCCCTTTTATCTTACCTCCAAAATGTTACCTTTAGATAGTCTACTCATTTTTCAAAGCCTAACTCATATTTTGCCACCCATATATGGACACATATGTCCTTTTGTGATCATCCAGTGAATAGTGTCTCTTATAGTCCTGTGATGCTAGTACAGTTATTCTTGGATTAGCTAATTAACTCATGTGGAAGAGTGATGTCACACCTCTGAACTCTTTAGATCTTTTGGCTTACCCCTTCTATACACACCTTGCTTTATTGTGTCTGTGTTTAAACATGATAGGTCTCCGTAAATAGAACACAAATTCCTTGAAGGGAAAGAGCCTTATATGTTTCTCTTGATGCATCTAGAACAGTGCTTGCCATATGGTATGTTGTTGTTGTTGTTGTTGTTATGTGCCGTCGAGTTGGACCTGACCCATAGCAACCCCTCCTTGGGTTTCCGAGGCAGTATCCCTACGGAAGTAGATTGCCCCATCTTCCTTCCAAGGATATATGCTCTTATTAAATGATTGATGAATTGGATGAATGAGTGCTTTGAGACACTAAAAGGGGATTAGTCTCGTTGTTTGCAGATGAAAGGTGAAGGGTCTTACATAAAGTCATACAAGGAGTATGAGCTTTACTGGGAACGTAGGTGTTTCAAATCCTGTCTTTTATTGAGCAGTCTGAGGCCATGAAGTTTCCTTGTTGTCTCAAGGTACTGCTAAGTTATAGTAAGAGTGATGGACATCGTTGTTGTGGGCCTCCTTGGAGCTGGGCTTGGTTTTAGGCATGCATACTTGTCCTCACGACAGCTCTAAAATGTATGCATCACCACCCTCACTTTATAAATAAGCCCATTAAGTTTCAGAGAGGTTTAAATAATACCTTAGGTCACCAGCTGATGAATTCATGAGTTAAGTTTGAAGACAGGTGTGTTTGACACCAAACCCCCACCCCCAAAGTTGGTAGAAGAAGGATGAGGTGGTCTGCTTCTGTAAAGATTTACAGCCTTGGAAACCCAATGGGAGTTGCTGAGTTGGAATTGACTTGATGGCAGTGTTTGGATTTTATTTTTGGAAAGTTGGCCACTGGCATTTCTTCCCCTTGTCTTTTTAGACCCATCCCTGGAAGGCATGTGTGCCCAGCTGGGGGAAGATGGGCAGCAGCTGCCACGATGCACTTCAACTACCTCATCTCAGTCTGAGCCTTCAGAGCCGCTTAGGTGTCACCAAGATAAGAGCTTAGCCTCTGAGGACCCCAAAAAGAAGAGAGCTCAGAAGCCCTCCCACATGAGGAGAAACATACGGTGAGCTATGCAGGTGTAAAAGTGTAATACTTTCATTTTAAGGCTGCTGATAGGAGGAGGACTGATGTTAGCAGGAGAGTCCTCTTTCCAGAGGAGGAAAGTGCATGCTGGAGGTCCTCATTAATAATGAAGATGTACCTCAGGACCATGGAAATGGGCTGTCAGAAGTTGCAGAAAGGATATGGATGGCCATTGACTACTAGGGGTGTGTCTCATTCTCTGTAGATTATGGGAGGCAAGCCAAGGATGATAGGTTCTGGGTTAGAAGCTTTGTTTCTTCCTCTGTTTTTACTTCTGTCTCACAATAAGAGGAGATAAAATAAGCTGAGTTCTCATCTTAGAATGCCACTCCAGGTGGCAGGAGATTGGCCCAAAGCAGGGCTTCTTCTTGGAGTGAAGAGCTGAGCAAATATGAGCTTCCTTTACTTTCTGAATGTCCAGCAGTCCTTCCTTCTACCAAATAACCACTTGTGCAGTTGGAGGGAAATAGATTGTATTTTCCCCACCCCCTGCCCTACTTTTTTTTTAAAAAAAACAAAAACATAATAACTTGACAGTATTACCCCAAGTTTGGGAACTAAGGAAATAGAATCATCCATAATTCCACTTCCTCACATAACAACTCTATTTTTTAGTATTGTTTTTCAGCTTTGTGAATCACATGTATAACCATGTTAACTTTTGATATGTTATGTACAGATACAAGTTGGCAGGGCATCTATCAGGAAGTTAAATAATATCAAACATATATTAGTCTATAACCACCTGTACCTTGAAGTCCCACTTTTTCTCCTGCTCACTGTAGGGTGTGGTGGGACTAATGGAGCTTCTCTTCCTCCCTGTCAACTCTCTGAGCTTGGCAGTGGCTATTTCCCTCTATTTAGCTTTGACATTACATTGCCCAAATCTTAAGCGAACCCAAGTTTGCACTCTCTTGTTTAGAAAGCTGCTCCGAGAGGATCAATTAGAGCCAGTTACCAAAGCAGCACAACAGGAAGAGTTGGAAAGAAGGAAACGCCTGGAGCAGCAGAGGAAAGATTATGCAGCTCCCATTCCCACCGTTCCTCTGGAGTTCCTCCCTGGTAAGCATTAAAGGTTGCAGGGAAGGCCCTGTACTTCATGAAGAGGCGTTCCTCAGCACGCACAGCGGTTATGGCAGATCTGAGATTAGCTTGTGGACCTCTTGGGAACCCGTTGGAGTCATTCAGCTTCTTGGACATATAGGATCAGAAGGATTTCATTTAAAAAATCAAGATGTACTCCTCAAATTGCTTATATTTAAATTTTCTTCCCATAACTTTGGATTTTAATATGCCAAGTGATTGGGACCTTTTCCAGTGGCCAGGTGGGTACCAGGAAGTAAGAACCAGTCGGGAAAGGGAATTTGGAAAGAGGACTACGTTTTTTTAGATGGCCTACACTTCTTTCCTCAGAGGGTACTTACTCTCCATGAAAACAGCAGAGGAGGAGGAATGGTGAGTTAGTTATTTTGGGAAATTTGTTTGAGCTAAATGTTATGCTGACATTCCATTCTACCGTTTTCCTAGAAGAAATTGCCCTAAGAGCAAGTGATGGTCCCCAACTGCCTCCTCGAGTCTTGGCCCAGGAAGTCATTTGTTTGGACAGCAGCAGTGGCAGTGAGGATGAAAAAAGCAGTCGAGATGGTAAGATTGAGCTAGAGGTGCCTCTACTTCCTCCTCACCCAGTGTTTCCACTGAGATCGGCAGTCCATTTAAAGAGAAAAGAGTTTAGCCATTCATCATTTAGTTTGGGGTCTGGCTTTGACACATTTCCCTGCGGCTCCTTAGTTTTTCCCTTGGTTTAAATTGAAGGTCTTCCTTCCAAAGAGTGGCTGGTGGGTTTGAACTGCCAGCCTTCAGGTTAGCAGTCAATGCCTAAGGCAGTATGCCACCAGAGCTCCTAAATTGAAGGTAGCAGAGAAAAAAGATAAAAATCAGAATTTTTGGAAGTGATGACAAGTTCTCACTTTAAGTTTCTGTGCTCTGCTGCTCTGACAATAGGGAGTAAATTATACCTGCTCTCTGGGATAAATATTTTTTGTTGTTTTTGATTATCTCAGAGGTGATTGAACTGAGCTCGGGAGAGGAGGACACTCTACACATTGTGGACAGCAGTGAGTCTGTCAGCGAGGAGGATGAGGAAGAGGAGAAGGGGGGCACCCATGTGAATGATGTCTTAAATCAGCGTGATGCTCTGGGGAGGGTCCTTGTCAACTTGAACCACCCACCAGAGGAGGAGAATGTCTTCCTGGCCCCACAGTTGGCACAGGCAGTGAAACCACATCAGGTACAACAAATCTTGACTCTCCTTTTCCTTTTGGCTCTCTTGCTGTGAACACTACCTGCTGGTGGTAATTAGCAACACAGCCTGTGGTACCAAGAGCTATTGGAAAGGTGTGAGCCTTCCCTCTAGCAATTGATGCTTCAAGATTCCTGACAAATAGAAAGGGCTGAGGTCTGTCCTATCATGTAGGAGGCCCTGAATTTTTTGCCTTAATAACCTTGATTTCCTTCTGTGGAATCAGTGAGAGTAATGGAGATACTCTCTTAAGAGCAGTGTTTTAATTAGGTAGTTGTAGCTCCAAAAGAGACTTGAGAGTCAGATGTGTTAGGGATTTTCCAATGGAGAGGAGGGAGCAGAGTGCTATTGATCCAGAGCCTGGAACCGGTACCAGTGGGTGGAAGTTCAATAAAGGCAGAGATTGACTCAACATAAGAGCTCTAACAACAACTGCTCCTTCTGGAATGGGCTGCCTTGAGGAGGTGAGGTCCCCAAAGGTCGACAGCCACCAAGCCAAAGTTGAGTGGAAGATGCTGCCAGTAATCTGGGTACTGCAGATTCTTGCATCAGATGGAATATTGTACCAGGTGAATGCTCTTCTGTGTTTTCTCCAAGTAGACTGTCACCATCTAATAGGCCAGTCAGGGTGCAGGGAAATTTCTGTAGCTGTTCATACTAGTTGTCTGTTATAATACCTGCTCATTTACTTGATTCTGAGTGATCCCAAAGAGAATAAATCCAGAGCGCTGGTGTTTGCCAGCCCCTCTGACATTTGTCTTTGTTGATCTTTGTCAGATTGGTGGGATCCGGTTCCTGTATGATAACCTGGTAGAGTCTCTGGAGAGATTTAAGACCAGCAGTGGCTTTGGCTGTATCCTAGCCCACAGTATGGGTCTAGGGAAAACTTTGCAGGTGATCTCCTTCATTGATGTCCTCTTCCGCCACACACCAGCCAAAACAGTCCTTGCCATTGTGCCGGTAAGAGTTTGGGAAGATTCCACTTATTAATCCATCTGAAGAGCTCTGGGTTGATGCCTTATTGGAAGCTAAAAAGCTGAAAAGCTCAGCTTAGAGTTTGTTCCTTAAAACCTTCTTTTGAATTTGTCTTTCTGACAGGTTAATACTCTTCAGAATTGGCTGGCAGAGTTCAACATGTGGCTTCCAGCTCCTGAAGCCCTTCCAGCTGACAACAAACCTGAAGAAGTCCAGCCTCGATTCTTTAAAGTTCACATCCTGAATGATGAGCACAAGTAGGTGGCCTGTCCTTTCCTTTCTGCCCCTTGTCTTTTAGACTTCTGTTGGGGACTCAGGTATCAGGGCAGTCAGTTGGGGTGTATGTGGGGTATATGCCTGGTCCTCCCAGATTCCTTTTGTTTTTCTGCTGTGTCCCTCTCACTGTTCTTGCTATTTATTATTTCCCTATATGTAGCTTTTCATTAAAGCCAAGGAAATGTCCTGTTTTCTGTTTGAAGTTGCTTTTATATCCTGAATATCTGCATGCAGAGTCACATTTTCCCATGGGTATAGTAATAAAGTTCAACATGATAGGATGGACTTTCCATCTCCTAACTCTATCTTTTACATCTTTCTTTTCTTAGAAACCTAATCATCAGTCTCTTCTTTTAAGCATTGATCTACAGTTGACCTTTAGTGGTACAACTTCCAAAGCTTCAAAAGATGCAGACTTTGTTTTTGTTTTAGATTTAAATGAAAAGTTTTATATCTCCATTCCATAAAGTCAACCTGATTTCTAAAAATCTAAAGCTATTTCTTGGTCCGAGCCAGCTATCCCTGCTACCCTTTCCTTTCGCTGGCTTGGATAATTGAAAGGGTAGACTTCCTTTTTCTGCAGAGGCTGTGATGTTTGGCCACATGCTTCTAAGTGAGGAGACTGAGTAGCCCAACCTGCCCTGCTTTGCTTAGATTTGGGGACCATGAGGCCACATGCAGTTAATGAAATACAGACAAGGCTCACTTGTTTAGGAATGGAGTAACTATGCTGAGGGTCATTTGGTTTCCATTACTCTTCTTCCTTTCCTGCGTGTCCTTGGCTCTTTACTCACTGGTGCTGAAGCAGGTGAAGTATAGACTGTCACCCTTCCTTCTACTGTCTTATATTTATTAATAGAATAGCTTGAAAATCTCCTTCCAACGTAGAACTGTAGTTGTATGTGGACGTCCAAGAGGACTGTCATTTTCACTTGCTTTGTGCTGTTGAACTACTGTGTTTCTTGCTGTTTAACCATCATCAATTACCCAGTGCATCCTTAGTGCAATTAGTATCTCTAGAATGCTGTCGGGGAAGTCCTTGGGCAGCTGGCCAGCCCTGTGCTTGCTGTCACATGAAGTCTTCGGCAATAAGGAATTCTGAATGCATATCAACACAGCTTTGATTGTGAGAAATTCTTCTCAGGGAACAGCAGAAGCAATAATACTGTCTCTCTGTTGACTTTTTTTTTTTTAACCAGTTCTATTGAGATAGAATTCACATATCACACAATTCTCTCTGTTCACTCTTGCAGGACGATGGCAGCTCGTGCTAAAGTGATGGCTGATTGGGTGTCAGAGGGTGGGGTGCTGCTGATGGGTTATGAAATGTACAGACTCCTCACCCTGAAGAAATCCTTTGCCACAGGTAGACCGAAGAAAACCAAGAAACGTTCTCACCCGGTCATCATTGATCTGGATGAGGAAGATCGGCAGCAGGAGTTTCGGAGAGGTGGGCAACTTATCCTGAGTGTAAGCTTGGGGGTCTTTCAGGAAAAAAGAGAAATAGTGTCTACCAGTAGTAACTGGTCAAGTGTGAAGTGCTTTATTGATGTGAGTTGTTGTCATGAACCGGAAATGTTGGCCCCCAGGATGGGTGGGATGACTTCTGTTGGCTCTTAGAAGGTGCTGCTTCCTTTGCAGACAGTGGGGTTCCACTTGGCCTGGCTGCAGACTGACTTGGAGGATATTTCCCCTGCCAGTCTGGCCCTGTTTCTCTCATAGAGCAGTTGGGAGAGTAGCTACCCCCTTTATCACTTCTTAGAGATGTTCTGAGAAAGCATTAAGAAAATATTTATAAAGTGTTTTAATCACTAATGTAAAGACAGAATAAAATTGACCCCAGACTGCCATTCCTGTGTGGTTCTAGTTCTGTTTTCTCTTCTGAGGTGCCTTTGCTGCTTTTGAGAAGAAAGTTTTTTTTTTTTTTTTTTAATTGTGATTTGGGTGAAGATTTACAGAACAAATTCATTTTCCATACAGCGGTTCACATAGAGAAGAAAGTTTTTAAGGATACAGAGGCTGTTTCATTTTCTAGGTCTCTTGTATGAGGCTGTGTTCTAGTTTGCTTCTGTGAAATGAATTTGCCATTTATTAATGACTGATAAATAACTGCGGGAAGACCCAATCCTTTAGCTAGCTGCCACCAGCCAACCCTCATATTTGGTGAGAGCCCACTGAAGTGTTTGTATTATTTCCATCGGTTTCATCCAGGAATATTTTTATAATCTTCGGTTGGTACTCTTCTTCTGCCCAATTGGTATAAGCCCTAGAAAAATAAACTAGTTTTACTCTTAGCCAAAAGGAAAACAAAATAATAGTAATAAGGGCAGGGAAGGAGAAAAAAGAGATAGTTACTGCAAGAGTCAACAGTCCAGGTTAGCTTCACACCAAATGCACAGGAGCTTGTATGATTGGCTCCATTTCACCACTGGGGGCTGACTCTTGCTTTCCTGCTTCCTTCATTTCTTCTGTCTCCTCCAGGGTACCCCTACTTCTCATATTATTGACTAAGAGCAGGCCCTCTCACCCTCTGACTCCGGATCCTCTTCCCTCCCTAGAGTTTGAGAAGGCCTTATGCCGCCCTGGCCCTGATGTGGTGATCTGTGACGAGGGACACCGCATCAAAAACTGCCAGGCCAGCACCTCACAGGCCCTGAAGAACATTCGGTCTCGCCGCCGGGTGGTACTGACTGGGTACCCCCTGCAGAACAACCTCATCGAGTACTGGTGCATGGTGGACTTTGTGCGCCCGGACTTTCTTGGAACCAGGCAGGAGTTCAGCAACATGTTTGAACGCCCCATCCTGAATGGCCAGTGTGTTGACAGCACACCTCAGGACGTCCGTCTCATGCGGTACCGGAGCCATGTCCTGCATAGTCTCTTGGAGGGCTTTGTGCAGCGGTGAGCCATCCTTTGAGCCCTGAGTTCTGAATCCTCAGCCTCCAGTGCAGCAGATAGACCAAGACTATTACGAAGGGGGAGATGTTGTTACAATGGGTGGATCCCTTCTTAGTGGGACAGTAATAAAAGTTTCTTTTGTGTGACTAGCTAGGAGGCAGTGGATGTCTACTGTTTTAGTCCCCTGAAAATTTTACCTAGAGATGCTTCTCTCAGAAGTTCATCTTTGAAGTCACTAGGGACATCTGCCTTACTTGCTGAGAGAAGTGAGAATGAGATAGCATTCTGCTGACTTGGGTGAAAAAAGTAGAGATGGTGACTCTAGGGGTGTGACCTCACCAGATTTCAGCTTTTCGGTAGATGTAGCTCAGGCTAGTTTAAACTTACAAAGCTAGTTTAAAGGTTTGGTTATCCTTGTTCAGACAGCATGTGTAGAGAAAGCTCAGAGGCAGCTCTCAATCAGGGTAAGAGCCAGAGTTACCATGGTCTCTGTCACTCTGTCAGTGACCTAGCACAGGTTACTCTGCCTCTTTACTTTAGTTCTTTATCCTTTAATCAATTTCTTCTTGATGGTTATGGAACCAGTCTTCACTATTGCAGGGATGTGGATGTGTGTTGAGAGGTATGTGTTGAGATCATCCGAGGGAGGTTTTGGCAGGAGTGCAGTGTTTCTGGGTTTATCCTGCACTGACCCCTCCTGGCCACACTGTCTGCCACTGCTGACCTCTTCACTTCTGTAGGAGAGGCCACACTGTGTTGAAGATTCATCTCCCTGCCAAAGAAGAAAATGTGATCCTGGTGCGGCTCTCCAAGATCCAGCGAGATTTGTACACACAATTCATGGACCGCTTCCGGGACTGTGGGAGCAGCGGCTGGTTGGGGCTGAACCCCCTTAAGGCTTTCTGTGTGTGCTGCAAGGTGGGTTGGAGCCTCTGGCAAGAATAAGATGAGAACTAAGGAAACACATAGTCAGGAGAGAGCTACTCCTCATCTTTGATAAGAGAAGAAAGAGTGAGCCACTGCACTAGAGGATTGGGAGCTCCAAGGAGAGTTGTTCTCATTGTGCAACTCAGCTGTACAATTTACTGTCCCAAACTTGAGAAATCACTTCCTTTCTTGATCTTTTTTTTTCCCATCTGGAACAGGGGACTGGTGGAGGAACATTGTAGAGCAGAATTTTTTACTGCTATCATCATAAAGATTCAAGAAATACTTAGCTTAGACACAGAGTATTAAGGGTACCTTCCATCCAATTCTAGATTTAATCAAATTGAGATTTCTTTCATCCTCATATTGATTGAGATGGTTTGGGGGCAGTAAGACTCAGGTGTCTGGGACAAGATTCAGGTGTCTTTAGCACAAATCCTCGTGAGCAGGTCTTGGCTTTGATCTTGCCAAGTGTGTCCTTTGCCTACTTAGGGACCTTTTCTTTGATTTCTTACCTCTGGCTGAGCTCTCAGCAGACCTGTTAGGTCTGATTCCCAATTGACCACTGATTCACTAAGTCAGTTGAAGGTGTGTTGTATACAGGGACAGTTGGGGTTTCAAAATATTTCTTTTGTAGCCACAGTCCTACACCAGGGCCAGGTAGCTGAAACAGACATGGTCTGTGAGGATGCTGCAGTGGCAGTGCAGAACGCCCAGCCTCCCTGTAATTCTCGGTTTCTGTCAGAAATAGTCCCTGAAATGACTTTTGGTCTTGTTTGATAGTTGAGTAGCTGCCTGGGAAACAAATATTCTTACTTTCATGTGAATAACAATGCAAGATTTCTGATGCAGCCTTTTTGATTATGTATCAAACACACTGGCACGCTGCTAGTATGATTGCCCCCATTTGTAGTGTCATGGCTTCAGTGCAGTTGATGAAAGCAAGTGTGTAGGCTCTTTGGCTGTGAAGGGGTTGAGGATACTTTAATTTCTGGTGTGACAGTGTGTGCTGTGGAAGGTGGTTGTGCTCTGCCATGTGCCATCTCTCCTTTTCCTTGGGCCTCAGATCTGGAATCACCCCGATGTGCTGTATGAAGCCCTTCAGAAGGAAAGCCTGGCCAATGAGCAAGACCTAGACGTGGAAGAGCTTGGCTCAGCAGGGACCAGCACCCGCTGTCCATCACAGGGGACAAAAAGCAAGGGGGAGGACAGTGCCTTGACCTCCTCAGTGGGAGAGGCAACCAATAGCAAGTTCCTACAGGGGGTTGGCTTCAATCCTTTCCAGGAGCGAGGCAACAACATTGTCACGTACGAATGGGTGAGTCAAGCAGGTCTTCTGTGGGCATAAACTACTGCTGGGAAGGGACCGTGTAAGGCCTACCTGGGGAGAGGGTGGGGACTGCACAGTGTACTGTTCTACCAAGATCTTTGCAGAGAACCAAAAAGGGATTGGTGAGCTGGTGCCTCAAAGGAAGGATTTTTTTTTTTTTAATACACACACTTACAGGTTTATTATTATTATTTTTTAATTTCATTTGGGTGAAAATTTACAGAGCAAATTCACTTTCCGTACAGCAGTTCACATACACTTTGTCTCATGACATTGACCACAATTTACCACAATGCAATAGCTCTCAAAGGAAGGATTTTACTTCTGGTGATCTGCCCTTGGACCTGTTCTGAATTCCTTGTTTTTCTCTTGCAGGCAAAAGACCTTCTGACAAATTATCAGACTGGAGTCTTAGAGAACTCTCCCAAGATGGTACTGCTTTTCCACTTGATTGAGGAAAGTGTGAAGCTTGGGGACAAGATCCTTGTGTTCAGGTAGGAGGGGAAGTTCCAGGTGAGGCTGTGTGTCTTATGATAAGGAGTGACACAGCTTCTGCAGAGTGAGAACACCCCAGGCTATGCCAGCCCTCCTTGCTTGCTGTGAGCCTCTGTATGCTTGTTGTGATGGCCTTGTCACATTTTAGTCCCTTTCTGGGAGTTTCTTTGCCCAAAGTGGTTTCTCCACAGGCAATAATTTAGAACCCTGGCTAACATCAGAGATGGAGGATGCCTTAGAGGAGGAGATCGTAGTCTAATCCAGCAAACCATGGCTCAGGCCAGGTCTGGCCCGAGAGCTAAGAATAGTTTAAAATAATTTTTACATTTTTAAAAAGTTGTAATAAAAAAGGAAGGAATAAAGAAAAGAAGAAAATGCCATCAGGACTGTATGTAGTAAAATATTTAGTATTGGGCCCTTTATAGAAATGTTTGCTGACCCCTGCTCTGACCTGTTTTTCTCCCTGCAACCTCTTTTTTTTTTTTTCCTTCTCCCTAAGCTTTATAGATAAGGCCCAAATAAGTGTTGTGATTTGTTCCAGAGTCACATTCTCAGCTGGGCCAAGGCTTTGAGTCTCCATCGGGTTCTGACTTCTCAAGGAAATAGATGTAAAGGAGGTGATGTTTTTGTTCTGACCAAATTATGCTCCAAAGAGAGCTAAGTGACAGGAGCCCCCTTAGGAGCCACAGAGTCAGGGCTTCAACTTGAGACACTCTTCGAAATTCTAACTAGGGAGAGCCTAGTGTTCACCTGGTATTATGGATCACTTCTGGCGAGACTGACTCTTCATGACATAGAAGCAGCTGAGTGATTCTCTCTATCTAATAAGACCCCTAAGATGCTCAGGTCTAACAGACAGTGAAACCTGTGAGCGCGGAAACTCAACATAGCTGCCTTGTTTCTCCGGGTCTCAAAACTTTTCCACCTTTGACAAGTGCAGTCTTAACACATTTCTAGTATTCGTTTTAGTGGAAGGTATTTGAGTTGTCCTTCTATGACAGGTTTCTGCCTTACACAGATCCTGACTTTTGCAGGTTTTACTGTATATTCCTGAGGTGTTGGTTTTTAATGCTGAAAGCTATTTGTAAATGTGCAGTGAGCTAAACACCAGAAGTGTGCAATGAAGGAAGCAAGAAATTAAGAAACTAGGGAATGTTTTTAGGGAGGGTGATGGTAATAAATATGTCGTTGACTCTGCTCACATTCTGAGCTAGGGAGAACATACCCTTGGTTGCCCTTTGTGGGTTACCTCCTAAGGGGAGTCAGCTGCAGGAGCTTCCATTGTCAGAGGCTGCACATGAGGGTGGGCCTGTTGGGGAACAAGGTTCCCTTGGGTCTGAGACCCTTCTGAACCAAATGTTGTCCTTTTCAGCCAGAGCCTTTCCACCTTGGCTCTCATCGAGGAGTTCCTAGGAAAACGAGAAGTGCCCTGTCTGCCTGGCACTGAGGGGCAAGGAGCACAGAAGTGGGTTCGAAACATCAGCTACTTCCGTGAGTTTATTGCTGCTTTGTTCCTTGGTCGGCTTGAGGGTTTCCTTCCCTTCACCCTCTCTCTTCTTCTACTTTATTTTCCATCAAATTCATAGAATTATCTGTGGTTAGCCACAGAGCAGGGAGATCTGAGAGCCAGCTGCTTGTACAAGGCACCAATCTAGAGGCTGAGGAGCCTAGGGAAATTGGGGGAATACAAAGCAGTAGAAAGCATAGCCCTGTCTTCATCTGAGATGTGACAACTTGAGGACCAGTACAAAGTGGCGCTGATTGAGCACTCAAACTAGACTTCTAAGGAGGACAGAATTGTCATGATGAGGATGTTTGAGGCCAGACTGACAGATCTGGAGATAATTTTAATATTACAGAGCAAGTTTGGCGGGAAGATCATTCCAGGGGGAAGGAATAGAGTGAACGTAGAGATTAGCATGCACTCTCAGTGGGGTGATACTGCCCCTAAGGGGTGAAAATTGACTCATGGAGAGGGTGTGTGAAAAAAATCTTAACTCTTTTTATGTATAAGGCACAGATATACATGCAGTACATAAACAAATAGAAATATATATGTGTTACTAAAATTTCAAAGGAGGCAGTAATCAGAGAAAAGTTGTCTGAAAAATCTTAACAGACAGTCAGACCAACCATTGCTGTTGAGTTGATTCTGACTTCTGTCAGCCCCATGTGTTACAGAGTAGAACTGCACTCCACAAGGCTTTCTTAGCTGCACTCTTCACAGAAGCAGATTACCAAGACTTTCTTCTGGGGCCCTACTGGGTGGGCTCAGACCACCAACCTTTAGGTTAAGAGTCAGGCACAAATAATTTGCATCACCCAGGGATCTAAAAGAAGGCTTCTTAGGAAGGCATTAATGAAGAAAAAAAAAAGATTAAAAAGCATTTGCCTCAACACTGTTGACATTTGGGCTAGATAATTTTTTGTGGTGTGGGGCTGTTCTGTGCATTGTAGGATGTTTAGCAACATCTCTGGTCTCTTATCACTAAATGTCAATAGCAGCTTGTCCCCTCCAATTTAATAACAGAAAATGTCTACAGACGTTGCCAAATGTCTCTAAAGGGAAGGCAAAATTATCCTTGGTTGACACTCAACAGTTTAGAGGAAGGATTTAGAGAGCTGGAGGTTTAGGGAGGTGGTGAGGAAACTACCAACACAGAGTTTGGCCCAGAGCCTGTGTTCAGTATGTTCTTAGGTGAGGTTGAATTTGTTCTGACTCATAGTGACCCTGTGTACTACTACCATCCTCAAAATTGTTGCTCTGTTTGAGGCCATTGTTGCAGCCACTATGCTATATCAATCATCTCATTGAAGGTCTTTCTCCATTGTGCTAACCCTCTACTTTATCAAGCCATGATGTCTTTCTCCAGGGACTGGTCTCTACTGAGAGCATGTCCAAAGTACATGACACAAAGTATTGCCATTCTTGCTTCTTAGGAGCATTCCAGCTGTACTTCCTCCAAGACAGACTTGTTCATTCTTCTGGCAGTCCCCAGTATGTTCGATATTGTTTGCCAACACCACATTCAAAGGCATCAGTTTTTCTTTGATCTTCCTTATTCACTGTCTGTTTTTTTTTTATGCATATGATGTGATTAAAAATACCATGGCTTGGCTCAGGTACAAATCTTAGTCCTCAAAGTGACATCTTTGCTTTTTAACACTTTATAGAGGTCATTTGCAGCAGATTTGCCCAGTATAATAGGTTGTTTGATTTTTTTTAGTTCTCTAAATTCCATTTATTTTGATGTTGATCTTGAAAATATGCATAGCAAAACATACACCAATTCAGCAGTTTCTACATGTTCAGTTCAGTAACGCTGATAATATTAAGTAATCATTCTCACCTTCCCTTTCTGAGTTGTTTCTCCCTTACTAACATAAACACACTGCCCTCTAAATTTCCTATCTAATCTTTCTAGTTGGTGTTCTCAGTTTGATTCCATATAGATGTATAATGCCCAAGGCAGACCTTTTTCACTAGGTAAGTTAAACTGTTAATTTGGTTTTAAGAAGACTTCGGGGGATATTTTTT